TCATCATCGTCGTCATCTGAAAGCCTGCGCATCGTGCTAGTCTCCGCATCTTGCATGGACACCATCTTTATGTGTTTGTTAGCCGTTTTGGTATCTTGAATATTAATCACACCGTAGAAAGTTGTGATGTCGTCGATTTGGCAGTTTCAATTTCTTCTTCACATCACCTTAGCCTGAAATGACAAAGTACTTTTACTTGAAAGTTCTTTAATGAGGTTTCTGTATAGTGTACAATTGTCATTAAAATAATTCAGAAATACTGAACGTGTAAAAGATGAATCAAGAGAGATTCATTTACTGTACTATTATATTATTCTTAACATTTTCCGCATGTTTACATCGCTTGCCGGAAACTGGGGAGCAAAAAAAGGCGAAAAGCACGTGCTTCCTTTCCGAAGGAAGGAGAAAGGAGAAAAAAACGCAGAGGTAAATTAGGGTATATACATTTCGCACGATTGACGAACTGCGAGCTGCGAGCTATGAGCTGCGAACGGCGGCGTGTACCAGCAGGTGACGGATGGAAGACTTCCACATGGAAGACTTCCGCGTCTCGCACGCATATTTCTCCTGATGGACGAATTAGCGTGCGAATACCCACGCAGATATAAAGGAGGAATGCGGCAGAAGGCGACGACGGCGATGGTGAGGGTGACGATAGAGGTGGTGGTGGCCGCCGCCGCCACCGCCGCTGCGTCTCTCGTCCATCTCGCAGCATCGTTGCTGATCGTTGCAGAGTTGGCAAAGTTGACAAACGAAACGGACAGCAGGCGACAACAACAAAACAACGCGGTGATAAAGAACGCGCGCGTAAAGTAACGATGAGAGAGAAAGAGAGAGAAAGAGAGAGAGAGAAAGAGAGAGAGAGAGAGAAAGAGACGGAGGAGAAAGAAAGAGAGGGAGACCGCGGGGATATGCGCGTTTATTCGGGCCGATACTTTGGGGGGGCAATGAAAATGCGCAGGGCACACGCAAAAGAGAGGCTACACCTCCGGGTAGCCGGGTAGCGGAGCAGCTCACGACGACTGCTCGGTAACGCGGAGTCGATGGAGCAGGCCCAGTGAAAATCGCGAGTTGCGTACGCACCTTGGTGTGTTCCCGCGGAGTGGATTCAAGGGAGGGCTTAGGACTCTTTGCGTCTGCGGGGAGGCGACCTGGCGACCGCCTCGGCTACGCTCTCGCACCACGCCCCGCGCACGCGGTCGCGCCCGCGCTTATCATCACCGTCACCGTGGCCGGTCCTGCGCCAGCGAACGCGAGGCCACTTGCCGACTTGCCTTTACCTCAGGACGCGTGACGCGCGACGACGACAACGGTAGCCGCCATGGCCGGTATTCGGCGGCGGGCGTATCGATCGGCACCGAGCGGGCCTCCATCACCACCACCACAACAAAACGCGGACACGGTACCGGCCATCTTGGGCGAGTCTGCGCGATGCAGGCCCACCCGAGCAGACGATGCGAAATTGCATGGATTTCGCGGACGGCGAGGACATCGCGCGCGCCCGATCCCGATCGCCGATCGTCCGCGTGCCAACTTTCCAAGCCTACCGCGCCAGCACTCACCGTTTCCCCGTTGAAATCCATCGAACGACAGCAGCGATCCGGGAGAACACCAACGCCATGTACATATATACAAGCTTGGTATAGCGCGATTGGCGGGAATCGCTCGGGCACGCGTCATGGCGGACCGCGTACCTACGTCGCCATTGGTCCGAGGGACACGTGACTGCCTGTGCCGTTCGCAGCGCGGCGCGACACGATCTAATGTAATCGCCGTAATGTCGCCTGTCGGAGGACGATTATAACCTGTTCTCGCATAACGCATTGGCATTCTTCTTCTTCACTTCGACATCTTTCTCCCGTGATCTTCCTGGGATCTCTGGCTAGTTGACTACATCCGGCGTCGTCTTCCTCGACGATCGTCCGATTGTTCCCGCTGCTCAAAAATACACATTGCAAATGTCAGCGCCACGTTCGTTCACGTACGCACTATTCTCTAGCTACCTGACATATTTTTGTCATCTCAAGGGATTGAAAAGGGATTTTCCAACTTTGATTATTTGCCGTGCAAATGCACCTAGTTTTAAGCTATAAACTAAGGACTCTGATTAATTTCATCAATAATTTATCAAGTGAAAATCTGTACTATGTTAAAACAATAGAATTAATTTTTTATTAACAATAAATTAAATTGGAGCACATTGTAAACATGGTGCTTTCCAGTAAGCGTAACACAATGATCATAACATCTTTATTTAACATTGCAATAACAGATTATAGTTTTTTCTCTTAAAAAGTAATTAATTACTTTTTAAGACTTACAAGTTACTAATTCTAAACAGTTACAGTACTGTAGGAAGTAACGGATAGTTATTTTTTCTGTTAATCTTTGTTATTATTTGCATTTCTATTTTAAATACAGGGATCTTATGTTTTTGATATTACTAAATTATTTGTAAAATTTTACAAATTTTTACAAATCGTAAAAAAGAAAAATATGTTCATGTATGCAAATCAATTTGAGAAGGTAAAGGCCAAGAAACTAAAGAAATAGTACAAGATGTTTAAATTAATAAATATTAATAATGAGGGTTTGTTTGAGGTATATCAAAAAATCAAAATGGTATGTCTGACACCGAGTTTTCATTCGTACATTTTTCTTATTATATTAAATATTCAATCATATTTGTTATAACAAATTAATATATACATTTAGAGCCAAAGTTATTAAGTAAATTAATATATACATTTAGAGCCAAAGTTATTAAGGGATTAATGTAAAATATATCCTTACACTAAAAAATCTTTAGCTTAATTCTTCATATAGTCATTTATAATGTATAATGATTATCGAGAATAATCAAATACAAGAAATAGTCACAAATTTGTTCACTGAGCATTCACTTTATTTTGGTCAGCCAATATGTTGACGAATAAGTTTAAAATATTTAAAAAGTATCATTTCATTAGTTACAGTTACAAAAAAAAATGTAATTACTTAAATGTTCAAAAATATTACCTTACCGAAAATTGTTGTTTTTTTCAGTAATTAGCAAAATTAATTATAAAAAGATATATACATTGTTTTATAAGGAGAGCTTATTCTTGGTAGAACAATACTCTATAATTACATATATCTTCTTATATAATTTAAATTGTAAAGAATAATTCATGATTCATACCTACATATAATATTTTTTGCTTTAATTAAAAACACAAATTTGCTTATATAATTTAAATTATACATATTCTCTGTTTTAATTAATTTAAATTATTGCAGAATCACATAAGTTCCCCCTTAAAACATTAGCATATCTTTTTATAACTAATTTTATTAATTACCGAATAAAAAATCGTGATTTTTAGTAGATAATACTTCTGAACATTTACTAGGTCTTTGCTAATCTTCGTAAAATTTTCATTTTTATATTCATTCATTAATTTAGTAAACCGAAAAATTTGAATAATAACTGTGTGTGAATGTATTTAATCAATATAAAATTGATATTTAAAATTTTAAACATATACAGTACAATTGTTGAGTTTTTCCCACAAAAACAATAAGCTCCTCTTTTAAAACACTGTATACATTTTTTTATGATTAATTTTATGAATCACTGAAAATACCGCGGTTTTTGATGAGAGGTACTTCCGTACATTTATCAAAATAACTAACTATAACTAAATTATTTATTAACAAGTTAAATTATGTTCCCAACCCTGTAAATAAGTAATATTTATTTAATTGAAAAATGTATTTAAAATTTACATAGAGATATTATTAAACAAAATCCAGTTTAGATCGTATTTGATGCTTCTTTTTTGTATTTTTTTATTTGTTTCTTTGATATTATATCTGACGTGATGCAAAACTGCATACATTCGATAATAAATATTTCTTAGAGTTCATGTAGAAATTTGCTAAATATGTTACTGCTTTCATTCTACAAATAAGCGCACTATTTGTTAAGGACATATTATACATATTTTTGAACAAAATGAAAAAATGAAAAGATTTTTCTGTATTGTATTTAATGCATTCGAAAGTAAAACAATTTGACGATAATTTAGAACTTAAAACAAAAATTATTTCATTAAATAGTTAACATATTTTTAAATAATAATTAAGATGAAATGAAAAAAAGTTTCATTTAAACTATAAAATTGTATTGTTAAATATAAAAATTTACGTATATTAAATTGTATATCTGTATAACATTTATTTTTATGCAGAAAACATAATTTTCAATTCCAGTCACTTTTTGTAGAGATTATACATCTGATACATCTTTAACTTTCCACGATATTCTTGGCTTCTATTCTTTTATTTTTTTAATCCTTATTGCATGTAATATATGAAATATCCATATCAAATAATCTTTGTTATTAAAATTGTTTAAAAAAATATATCATCAATAATTTTATAAATAATTCAATTAAAATTTTTTACTACATTTATATAAATTAAAAATTCTTTCGAAATTCATCATTTCATTTTTTTTAATGTTTTATATTCAAGTGTTATTTGGATCATTTCAAAATTCATATTCTTTTCACAATTTATAAAACTACATTTATTTATCTATATTCTAAGATGTACAAAAAAAGATAGTATAGGAGAAAGAAGTCCATCACAGGCACTACTATGCTGAATTATTTCATAATCATGCTTTCTAAAATCATTACAGAAAATACATTTTGTTCCTATTTTGTTTTTACAATTGTTACATCTACAGTATAAAAGTATTAACTAAATACAATAATATTGTAAAATGACATAAAGCAGCTCTTTACATATCACATCTGAGGCAGAATAAATTGGAAACTATGAATTTTACATCACATTAGTTACCAATCGAGATTTGGATCTAAATCTTGTGAAAGCTTTAATGCTTTTTTTTTTCACATCAAATAAAAATAAGAATACACTACAAATTTCTTTGAATCATTTTAATATCACGAGATTCTTTCTCTGCGAACGCATAGACCTTTGTTTCTCCGTACAATTCAGGATATATATGTAAACACAATCTGCCGTAAATTCCATCTAGTGAATTTTAGAATAACGTCGCTTTTTAAAGGATTCAATTGGTACGAATAATAATAACGTTGAAGATATTCCATTAGTCTCTAAGCCCATGGCTTGCTTTTGTGACAAAACTTTCCGTACCAGCCAGCTTCACAGAGACATGTGTCGTTTGATTGACAGGTTCCATGTTTACACGGCTTGCTACATGTTGAACGTTGTGACGTTATATGTGTGGTTGCAATTTCGCAGTGATTGCCTTTATATTCGTTTGAACATCTGCAGATGTTAGTGCCCTTGCATTTGCCTCCATTGAGACAAGGAATAACGCATTTGGCTGAAAAGATAAAAAATTGTTTAACATAATAAAAGTTTTCTAAATTTTATACGATTTTGATATGTTCTTTAAGATTTGTTGTTTGTACTCACAAAATTCGCAGCGCAAGCCGAAATAGCCTTTTGGACATTCACAGACATCCTTCTGAATACACTTTCCTCCGTTCAAACATTTTTCTGTGCAGATACCTGTGCAGAAATTGTTTGGTTAGTTAGTCTTCATAAGTAGTGATAAAAACCTAATTTTTGGAAATTTTATACAGAAAAATGTTACGTGTCAGAGGAGTGGATATACGACTGGCCTGCACATTAGCCAGGAGTTCGTCTGGAAAAGTACTAGACTCCGTAATAAGAGTCGATCATGCCGGCGAATTGGGAGCTGACAGAATATACGCCGGACAAATGGCCGTACTAGGTATAGTTGTCCGACTTCATAATGTATGATTGTAGATATAGATTAGAATTTTAATGGTTTTCTGCGAAACCACAGGCAAAACGACAGTCGGACCAACTATACAGCACATGTGGGATCAAGAGAAGCGACACCGCGCCAAATTCGAGGAATTGATTCGCAAGTACCGAGTCAGACCCACCGTCCTTACCCCGCTATGGAATATCGCCGGGTTCGCTTTGGGTGCCGGTACTGCTCTCATGGGCGAGAAAGCAGCGATGGCGTGTACTGTGGCAGTGGAGACTGTGATCGTCGAGCATTACAACGATCAATTACGTATGTTGATGAAGAATGGCGACAATGTCGACAAAGAGATACTTGAAACCATCAAGAAATTCCGAGATGAAGAACAAGAGCATCATGATACGGGCATAGATCATGGCGCCGAGCAAGCACCGTTTTATCAAGCTTTAACAAATGTGATCAAATACGGCTGTAAAACCGCTATTTCGATTTCCAAAGTGATATGAACGCATTTACAAGTGTTCGAAATTAAAGATGTAAAAAAATAACTTGTTACTTGTAAATAGTAATTGTAATTTATATAATAATATAGTAAATTATACTTTGAATTTATATGTAAGGAATTAACCCATGAATGATATTCGGGATATCGAATTTAATAGAGCATTTTTTAATCACTAATTTTTTTATAAATTGCAATATTCTATGGAAATTTTATTTTTATGAACTTATGAAGTAATTAAAAGAAGCAAATTAAATTAAATTAAATAGAAATAAATAAAAATACTATCATGTAATCACTTTTCAAGTGAATCTTCATGAATTATGTAACATATGTACTAATTAAAATTGATTTGTATAAACAATATATATATAAGGAAGAAAATTCCAAAAGAAATCCACTCGAAAGAAATAAAAATTTTTATTTTTTAATTAAATTTTTAATTATATTTTATTAAAATATGTATAAAACAAAATAAAGTTTACCATTAATTTATTTCTTCACATAATTTATCAATAGATACATTTGTTTCATTTTATGATATTTCAAGATATCCTTTGCACAGACATTTGTATCTAAATTGCTGAACTAGTTTTTACGTCTCGTTTTCCACTTTTTGATATCAAATATTTTCCCGATAATAGTAGTTAACTTTCTACGAAGATAGAAATCTGAAGGTGTGCAAGATTAGGCAAATAGACGTACGTTTTTAGATGTAAAGGAACTACTTCTCAATTTTATTCACAAAAATGAGATAATGCTGGGTTTTATACCATTTAAAATATTCAAACTTTGCGAAAAGTTTTTGTTTGTGACAGACTATTCATCGAAAATTCATCTGTTGTAATGCTCATTCATACTTTTGTATGGCAATGCAGCTCTACACAATTATAGGAAAACGAATACTATAGGAAAGCTTTTATATCTATTGAAAAAATAAATTCTGGAGCACGTACTTTATTCTGATCTCGCTTTTTCATCTTTTTGGAAAGCTAGAAGAATATTCGAGAAATATTGTGTCTAGAGGATCAAGAAGTGAAATACAAAATTGACTCAGCAACTTGAATACAAATTTCTATGCAAAAATTTTTTAAAATTAGACGTAATACATGCTTGGACAAAGTTTGAATCTATTGGGAGGATATGAAGAAATAAATTAATACTAAATTTAAAATTTACTTTGTCATACATATTTCGAAAATAAAATTTAAAAAATTTTGTTATTTTAAGCGAATTCTACTTTTTTCCGTCGTATATTTGTGTAATTTATTATACCTCCTTCGCAGTAAGGACCCTGATATCCTGGCGGGCATGAACACACGCCTGGCGCCGTACAGTTACCGCCATTCATGCAATTCGGATAGCAAAGCGCTGTTTTACAATTAGGACCTAGATAACCATCTGGGCAGGGACCAGGATTAGGTTCTGCAAAAATAAAATCCAATTAAAAAATGGAATATTATCGTGATGTCTGTAAATACATTACGCACATACACAAATATGAACACACTTATTTAATAATTATCTTTGCATGATTAAAAACGAGAAATATTTTGGTAACCGAACACGATCTCGCAGTTCAGTATAATATCGTTTGGAAAACATTCTAATTAATTTCAGGAAAGAGCGGCACTCATGCCCAACTATCGATTATTCCAATAAGATATTCTTCTATCGCAATCTCATGCAGATTTAATCATGCATTCCTTTTCAAAAATTTTAGGATTAACCATGAAATTGAATATAATATATTATATTTTTATTTTATTTTATGTCATAAAAAAGAGAATATGTTTTAGTCTATATAATGTAACATTTTTTAAATATTTAATAAATATATATCTTCAGCAAAAAGATCATTTAAAAAAATTGCTAAAATGAAACTTAATAGTGTATAAATTCAAAAAAAATATAACGATAATTAATATTAAGAATAATATACAATAACTATAATCTATAATCAATTTTGTTATAAATCTCGTAATAATATTTTTTTTTCATTTATCTCATTTTTATGGCACATACAAATCGTGGATTTCTTTCAATTGAATATTATTTATCGAAAGAAAAAAATTTGAGAAATATACATATTTAATTATTTCACATTTGCACATTCGACCTGCTATGTCACGAATTATCATTGATGTATTATCGCAGAAGTGATTGTAACGAAACGTTCGAGAGTATCGTATTCTGTTACCTCTATCTGAATTCGAAAAGATGAAACAATTATATGTGGATCGTTATTTGCCAGTCTTCTCGTTCGTAATTTATATAATAAATTCAACCGATCACATATGTTGAATAATCTTTTCAATCCTTGATATTATCGAAATTTAGGTATGTAAAAATACTTAAAATAGATAAACACATACTTGACTTAATGATTAGCAACTTGAATGCACAGAGATTGAGAGAGCTGAGAGTAACGCTGAAAAGGTAGAGCAGACTTGTGCGTTCTTTTGCATTAAGTAGACAATTAGGCACTTAATTCATAATTCACGAGCGAACAATGACTTAAAGAAGCATAGAACTGACTAACGCTTAACAAATAAAGCGCCAGGCAAAATGAAACAGAAAAAATAGATGCTAATGTAGAAGATACAAGCAAAAACCGATCTAAAGCAATATTTGAGTAAAAAAAAATTTTTTTAATATAAGCTAAAGAGAGTATTTTTTGAACATCAGACGATAATAATAATTAATTGCCAAATTGCAAAATGAAAAGTAAGGATTAACACTGGTATAATTTCTTCAATCGAGTTCATATTTGCACGCGATAATAACAATCCTTGTTCGAGGATAAATGAAATCCGATCTAATAAGATCCTTTCTTTATATGCAGCATTGGAAATCGAAGTTACATTCCTTCCTGATCCTTATTCATTAGCAACACTTGTTTCATTTAATATGCTTGCATTAAAAAGAGCGATCGATATTACTCAACACTTTGCAATTGTAATTAACATAATTACAAGACAGATGTATTATACTAAGATAGCATTAATAAAATCTAGTTCTGAATGAGAGTGCTTTTAAGCCACACAAAAGCGGTCCATGTTTCCACCTTGCGAGTGGCGATGGGTACGCGAAATTGAAGTCGTTGAGACGACGTTAAAATTTATATTACAGAGTCTTAAAGATCTCTTTCTCGCATTATTTCTTTGTATAAGTATCATAGTGCACAGTAACATGCATTGAGAAACAATGTACAAGTTTTAATAAATATTTATTTGAATAGTACGAACTAAATATTTACTTCCAGTAAATGAATGTTTATATATACAATAAAAAAAAATTTTTACTCAATAAATAATGTTAATTAAATCAAATTAATTCTTATATCAAATAAATGATTTATTAAGATTTAGTTCATTTTTTCAGTAATAAACATAGATAAGAAAACTATGGACGGAATACATAGAATCTATCAAATCTTGTATTTAGGACTATCTATCATGAACTAATCGGAGAGCCATATCAGCATCTTAAGACGGTCTTAAAATAAGAACGAATTAAAAATCTCTTCTATTCAATTAAAGCAAATCCTAATGCCTACTAATATTATTTTATTATTAGGCATTAAAATTAGGCAGTAAATTTTTACAATTCAAGCAAATTGTGTGCCGATCGTTTATCGATCTTGAAACACAATTTTAGACTGAAACTGAACTATGTAATATTACAAATTAATTTAAATGATACTAATAATGAACATTTTTTAAATATTGTAAAGAATTTATTATGAAAAATATCATTTCAAGAATTTAAATCTGTAATTCCATGCGGGTGTCTTCTGAATTCGTTCCAGCTTCAATATAGGACTATTCCAAGACTGACAAAAAATTTGCGATTTGATTGAATTGACAATTGTAAAATTTACGTAAAAATATTATATTAGACACTAAAATCTGCTTTGATCGAATATGGTTGATCTGAGTTGAATATTTCGTGGACAATGTTCATTTAACATGAGTAAACAAAAGTTACTTAACACATGCGTTCTCAGGAACTCGAGAACATTTTGAAACTCAAAGAAACTCTTGTTTCCTTTTGTTTTGGTAACTGATGCCTCAAGACGCTTCAACGTGCTCCTTTTTGTGACGAGAAATGAGTACGCGTGTAAAATTAGCCACGTGCAAGTTTTGCGAAGGCGTTAGGAAAAGGTCCAAGTTAATCGATTCGCTACTCCCTTTGACACCTTGACAAACGCAAGCATCCTCGTTTGGACCGGGATCTCGTCGCGATGATCGAGGCTCGGAGCAACCGTTTAACGATGTAACATCCATAAATCTCCCAGACACTGTGGAGCGGTGGAGATTCGATGCGCCTCCCTCGCACAATTATCGGACCCATCGTATCGCGGCTGGCAGGCGGGCAGGTAGATAATCTTTCTCTTATAAAGTATCAAAACGTGCACTCATACGCGCATCAGGTACATGCCACGGCTGTCGATTAAATAAAAAAAGAGGAGAGCCAGTCGGAACGAATGAACCATGCGTGAACCGGATTTCGTGGGCGCCGCGATGCAACATCCTCGCGAGCGGAGGCGAGGAAGAGATCCGGCTGATTCCTGACTGCCTCTCCTGCATCGGTCAAGAGCATGCAGCAAATTAGGCGATGAATTACTGCTGATACAGAACTGTATGTGCGAGTGAAGAGGTGGTGATCGTGGGCGCGACTGACGGACTCACCGCGCACGGTGCATTCTTTTCTTAAACTGAGACGGAGGGGCGTCCCGTTTAGAGGTTTTCCTTTCAGGGTTTCGATCATCAAACTGATCCCGAATTGCGCTATGCCCGAATTGCCGGCGCAAGGTAGAAGAATGCTGAAATCTGCAACGGAAAAACAAATAGGGTGAGATCTGCTCGTTTTGTATGATGTACTGAATTTTCTTTACTCTCTAAATCTGAATCAGTGGACACTAATTACCTAGTGACATACTTGGTACTGATAATCAGTGAAGTTCAATTAAAAAAGGAAGAATATTTGAGCATTATATAACTAAAATACTGATATTTGCACATTAATTTAAATTTTCTAATACCATATTCATTGAATTTAAGTACTAAAACAAGATTAGATCACATAATAAAAATTAGATTGGAGACCTCATTTCACCTTTAATTCACTGATTACTAGTGACATACTTGATATTGATATCAGTGATTATCTACTTATTCAGATTTAGAGAGTACTTTCTATTTCTCTTCATTCATCTTCCAACATTCAATCATAAGTGTTTTTCATTTTAATTTTGACGCTATTGAAATGTTTATTCATATTTTAATTCAGTTCTTTGATTTTTATTTTAATCTTAAAAAATATGCCAAACCTATTATGAGAGTTTCTTGCAGTTCGATCCCTTTGGCGATATCACGTGACGTAAAATATTTACTCGATCTAAGAAAAAATTATACTTATAAAGTATATTTTATATATTTTATCCGATTTAAGAGAGAGAACTAAAAAGTATTTTATTCTTATTAATTACGCGAAAATCTACAGAAGTTTCAGATTTTATCGATCAAATTTTCGATGCGTTTTACAGTACAAAATTATATAATCGCAAATATAAAAATATTTTATTAAAAAATATAGAAATAATTATCTTCGCATACCTGATTAAAAAATCAGGAAAAGCACTTTCTATTTCGATAAATAGAATCATAAATATGTCTTATTAATAGTTAATAAATAAAATAACACATTTCTAATCATGCAATCAGATTTAATCGAATTTCTTTTCACAGGAATGATAATGAAACAAATTGATAATATTTATTCCTAATGTATTTAAATGACAAAGTTTAGTATTTCAAATAAAAATGAAAAATCATTTAAAAATTATCGATGGCAATTTAATCCTTACAAATGTAACATCATAATATTATAACTCGCCATAATTCGTTTCAGATTGATTCGGTCAAACGAAATATTCTTCAGGCAAAGAATATCTTCAGCGCCTTCTCTTAGATCAGGTAGATTTTACGCACGCCAGCAAAAGATCTCTACCTTTGACTGTGTAAATAAGACCATCAGCACGGCACTTAGAGAGAGAGAGAGAGAATAAAAGTTAATAACAAAACGGACGTATTTGCGAGCGTATGTACCAAACTCATTATTTTAACGTGTCATTAGAACGTGAAAGTGGCGTAATGTCGATATATCTAACTGCAAGCGCGATTTTAGATTTATTTGTGTTTATCGCGCGATAAAAGCCAAACGTGCATTAGACTTCAAATTCAGCCTCCACAAGATCAATACATATTGACTCTGACAAACGAAAATACTATTAGCACGTTAACGCATTGATACGAAGCGAAAAATGACCGCATCAACAAGATGAAAGCTTCATCACAATTTACAATTATTCGAATTTTATATCATTTTACCTCGAGAACTATTAACTGAAATAAAAAATTGCGGACATTTCTCTGACATTTAGATTCTGACAATCTTTTTCTCTGCTGCGAAATTACATTTCTGTATTGCAAGATCTTGATTTATTGATTTTTTTATGGTAAATATTTTATGTTTATTCTTAATATATATGCTGTGGTTAATGGATTTTAGAACGCTTTATAAATAAACTCTCAACAGTAATAATAATTTTATTTCTTTTCATAAAGAATTCCAATAATACTGGGCAACAAAACTTTTTTTTTGTGCGAATAATCTGAGTAATCATTTCCGATATTGTAATTTTATTTGTTGAATATGAATCCGTTAATCGATTATTAATTATTAAAAAAATATGAAAAAATGCTAGAAATGACAATTTTGGGAGTATTCATGACGTTGCAATACCAGCAGAAATCTTTTTTTTTTAATTTTTATTAATATCACGTGAAAGTTTCAACTTTTAATTACCTGTATTATTAATATCTGTATTAATAATTTTGTCATGATAATAACACTGGGCTACAAAATCTAACTTTTTTTTTACATAATTTATATAATTTACATAATTTATATAATTATATTACGTAAGCACAAAAGCACTTTCCATCTTTCTACATAATACAATATTAAGGATGGAACAAAATGCCTTTTTTTATGTGTTACATGAAACGAGCTATTGTTATGGAAATTGTTATATCCCAAAAACGGAAAATTATTTCAAAACGAAATGTATTTTACAACTAAAAGTTGATACTTTTGTGATATAAACCAAATTTAGAAAAAATAAAATCTGTTGCTGATGCTACAACGTTATGAAAATTCTCAAAATCCTTTTTGACACCATTTTTCTTAAAATTGTGATCGAATTTGGACAACAAGATTTGTATTCGCCAAACAAAATACATTGAAAATGATTATTCGTATTGCAAATTGTATTAATGTTAACAATAATAACATTTA